TATTTATTTATTTAATTTTTATTTTTTATTTATGTAGTTAGCACAAACATATTCACCTACAGTAACTTTGACTTCAACTCGTGGGGCTACTGTGTTCCCTATGCCCCATCATCCTGCAGAAAGGAACCGTTTCCAGCTCCATTTAACAGACTAGTAAAAGCTGAATGGGAAACAGCCCATGGACAATTCCTTCATCTTGCTTTGGGCAAGAGACATTTTCATTTCAAAACCTTACCATTTGGTCTAGCAAGCTGCTCCTTGTGTGTTTATCAAACTATTAATAGCATTGGTTCCACACCTATATATCCAGGGCATGGCCATTCATTCATATTTAAATGAACTCTTTTTAATTTCTCTCTCTTTCTCTCTCTGGGGCCAAAAGGGACCTGCAGATAATGCTGGAGACCTTGCCAGTTCATGGATATATAGACAACATAAAAAGAGTATTTAACTCCATTTAGATGCGTTAAATTAGAATACTGCCACACTTTCCTCAGAAAGAATTGTGAAGATTATTCAGGTAGCCAGCTTCTTTGCATGTAAGCAGACAGCATCACTAATGCTCCTAGCACACTTGTTGCAATGAATGATCTCATAGCTAAAAGCACCCAGATGCAACTTTATGCATAGCCACTTCAAATGTTTCTTCACTCTCATCAATTGCCTATTATTATAAAAAGCAGGTAACTCTTTGACTTCTTCAGTGCTCCACACTCTGGTAGGCAAAAGCATCCAATCTGCACTAGGGTATCTCTCTGCAGGATCCTCAAAGGCACATACCTTTATTTTATTGCTTTATCATGAGGTTCCATATCTCTCAAAACCTGCCCAAGATACAGCTCATTCCACCAGGGCAACTGCCACATCAGCAGCCTTTTCCACAGATGCTCTTTTCATGGGAAATTTACATTTATGAGGCATGATAAGATAAAATAAGTATGCTTCAGCTTCTTTTTTCAGGCGGGTGTTATGGTTTCAATTTATTTATTTTATTTATTTAACGTATATGCCACCCACACTACCCAAAGGTCTCTGGGCGGCTTACAGCATTTAAAATACAATAAAAAGGCAAAATATTTAAAATGCAATTAAAAATATATACTCTAAAAATTTGACAGAATCAGCCATCTTCTACCTCCCAACTGATTAATTTGTACATTTTTGTGTAGGTCCCATTTTTGGATGGCTCCTTCTCACAGACTGAGGATGGGATATTGACTTATTTTTCATGAAGGGCCATTCTGGTCTGAGGAGAAGCCACCTTAACGCTCCCAAGTGCTGGCTTTTCACTGCTTAGGGCACAGACATATGAAACACTTACTATCTCAATTCATACCTTGGTATTTCCTACTTTCTCTGTCTCGTCTATTACCTTTTCTGTGCTGTGCAGTGAAAAAACACTAAAAGGACCTAGACGCAGTTTGCATAATAAAGTTCTTCAGTGTTCAGTCCCCTTCCTTTCCTGGACAATGACAGAATTAACTCAGCTCTTGATATCTCCTTCTCAACAGGCCAGAATGAACCTTCAAGGAAGAACAGCCTATGCTCCACTTCCATGTGTACTTGTATGCACAGCATTGTATTCTCATAATATTATAAATGTGGTTATTCACTGAATTGAATGTTGAGAGTTTTCAAGACAGATAAAAAGAAGCACTTCATACAGGACCAATTTATACTGTAGAATTCACTATCACAAAATTTAGTGATGGAAGCCACAGAGTTCAAGACGTTTAGGACCATCAAATAGCAACTACTGTAGTTAGGAAGACTACATATCATTTTCAGTTTTTAAAAAATAGAATGCTTCTGCGTATCAGTTGCTTGGAAACACAGGAAAGATGTGTGCATGATGTCTACTGCATTTGATTTTTTAAAGGATTTTGTTATCCACTGTGATATTGTTGGTAGTGATTGGGAAAAAAATGAGGGGCTTGTTGGCAATATGATTTTGTTATCCACTGTGATATTGTTGGTTGAGGTAGTGATTTGAAATAAAATGAGGGGCTTGTTGGCAATACATATATTTTAAAAATCCCATTTTGTCAAAGTTGGTCTTAAATGATGTATGTCACCACATCGAAAAACACTAAGGCAAACTTCTGCAGTCATGCATAACTTACCTAGATATAGTAACACCATTCACCAGAAGAAATCTGAATAGTTCTTGTGCTTTCTCCCTGTCCCGAGACTTTTCTTTGGCTGTCAAAGTGTCATATGGTACAAGTAAAGGATGGCTACCTCCACCTAATATGAGAGAAAAATTATAATTTACTGATGTAGCAATTTTACTGAATTTCAGCTTCTGCAGGGAAAAATAGCTGGTCCAAAGCATAGATTGTCATGGATCCACATGATTTTTATATCGGATCGTCCCCAAGTCACTGTCCAATTTGTGGATAGAGATGGTGCCTATAATTGGAGAGTGGTTTGGGGATGATCCCACATAATAATCATGTGGATCCATGAGGTTCCATGTCTCAAATCCATTTTTCCCCTCTACTGCAAAGACAGCTGTTCACTCCTCACTTAGGCTATGCATCTCTCCCATTCATGATTTTTATATCGGATCGTCCCCAAGTCACTGTCCAATTTGTGGATAGAGATGGTGCCTATAATTGGAGAGTGGTTTGGGGATGATCCCACATAATAATCATGTGGATCCATGAGGTTCCATGTCTCAAATCCATTTTTCCCCTCTACTGCAAAGACAGCTGTTCACTCCTCACTTAGGCTATGCATCTCTCCCATTCCTTGCCTCCAACCCTGCACCTCAGGCTTTCCCACTTGTCTCCCTCAAGATAGAACAGAAGCGCACATAAAATGGGGAGGTGCCTATGATTGGAGAGTGGTTTGGGGATGATCCCACATAATAATCATGTGGATCCATGAGGTTCCATGTCTCAAATCCATTTTTTTTCTCTACTTCAAAGACAGCTATTCACTCCTCACTTAGGCTATGCACCTCACCCATTCCTTGCCTCCAGCCCTGCACTTCAGGCTTTCCCACTTGTCTCCCTCAAGATAGAACAGAAGCGCACATACACCAAAATGGGGAGGGGAGCTTGTGGAGAAAGAGAGGGAGCCACTGAATTGTGGGAGTGGCAACCCCCCCAGAACACAATTTACAGTGACAGAGGTGTTCTCATATGCCAAAATCTTTCCCACTTGTCTCCCTCAAGATAGAACTGCAGCCCAACAGAAGCGTACATACAACAAAATGGGGAGGGGGGCTTGTGGAGAAAGAGAGGGAACCACTGAATTAGGGAGCAATCAGTTTTTACAAGCAAGTTAAATTAAACAGCCATCTTCCAGCCAGTAAAACACCTCTTTTGGACCAAAAAAACACATTTCAGGGGGTGGTGGGGTGGTGGTGGGGATCCAAGCTTCCTTGTGTATTATGTCATCAAAATCCCAGATGCTGGGGAGTGGCATCAGGAGACAGGTCTCTAGTTGTCTCGTGTGCTCCCAGAGGCATCTGGTGGGGCCACTGTGAGATATAGGATTCTGGACTAGATGGGCCTTTGAGATATAGGAAGCTGGACTAGATGGGCCTTTAACCTGCTCCAGCAGGGCTCTTCTTATGTTCTTATGTCGTCACTCTTTTTTAAAAAAAAATCAATTTAAAACATGCTAAATCTATTCAAAACCCATTTATTTTGGTAACAGAACTGAGCTCCAAGTCTTACCTTTGCTTTCCAATTCTATTTTCTTCTTTTTAGCCCAAATATTATGGTAGTTTTCTGCCACTACTTCAACCATTCCCTGTATCACCAGCAAATCAAGAAAGGACAGTGCAAAGTCAGATGGCAAATATACTGAAGAATAAATAATACAGTTCTAGAAATAGAGAGATGTAAAGCAGGGAAGAAGATGAGTCTTGTTCTAGCTTGCACCACGCTCAGCTGCTTAGAAACATACAGGAGGTGGGGGCGGGGCTGAAGGATGAACTGCTTTCCTTCACTCAGAAATAGTTCCCTTGTGAAAGAATAAGCTATTTCAGCTCATGTAGCTGGACTAAATTAATTACTTTGTGGCCATTGTGCTTTCTTTTTTATATCTAATTTTGGAACTCTTGATGATGGGGAGGTCTCCTCTGGGACAAAAATGAGGCTAAGTTTATGCACAGGAATATAGTGTAGATGGCTAGGTTGGCTGGAAGTTGTTGCTGATGATAATTTTTCTCTTTTCCTGCTAGTTTTGATCTGGGAAAGATATTTTATTGCTAGGCATAATGTGACTCATTAGATAATGTTAAAAGTTACTGAAATTATATATCAATCTTTATTACAGGGCGTCTTCTGTGCTTGTTTTTTTACTCAGGTTTCACTTTACCAGCCTATATCCAATTGTTAGTCCCCAAATAGATCCATTAATGAACAGGGAAATTAGTAAATCAGCTATTATATATATTCCATTGATCCAGTAAAACTTTTCTTTAGAAGTCTAAAACCTGGATTTAAGTCACCATATTTTATAGCCCTAGCACATAATAACTGCATTTGTAATTGTAGTTTTTATATGATGTGTTTCTGAGTGTGTTTGAAGTTCTACAAAGACCTTTGTCCATAAGCACAAAAGACTGGTTGGGAAGTATTACAAATGAATAGGTGAATAAACTGATACGATTCATGCTTTGTAAATCCTTTAATATGTTTTAAATTCATTTAGAATAGTACCATGCACTAATGAAGTGTTATATAGATAAAATAAAATAAATAACCTGTTAAACAGATTGCATTATCAATATTGAACTGTCAATATAATATTGCACTACAATATAATATTGCATTCAATGTACCTTGGCTATTGGTTATTGTGATCATAAGCACATGCTATAACTATTTTCAAATTGTTATCAATTTATTTTTTGAGAATGCTTTGATGATAATGGCTTGGATCCTGAGAACGCATGACTGGGGTTCTGGTCACTGGCCACTCCTACTGGTGGAAATGGGATGAGATGATGTAAATAATTCCTTCTTCCTTTCATACACCTTTGTCAGAGGATTGGGAGACTTCTTAAAATAGCATAGGTGGTGATGCAGGTGGCTCTTGGGTAGGGACGTATAAGCCATTGCATATCTCCTTGCAGGAATGGACAAACATGTACATTTTTCTCCTGAGTGGCAAAGATTGGGGAGAATTTTCTGGCAGAATTCTCACACTGTCCATTTCATTTTAAAAATGCACAATTTGTATAACTTGTGCAACTACACATGGCACAAATTAATAAAAAACTAGTATAAACATTGTTTTATTTCAGAATTTGAAGTATTAGATCTTTGTTTGCTTTTTCTTAACACGTCTTTGGTCTTTCAATTCTTGCTTTATGTTCATGTGTGCTTTGTTTCTCAAAGAAAAAGGCTAAAGATGTTTTATGTAAATTACAGAGACCATGAGGTGAGAAAGTGAGCAATTGTACAGGGTTTAAAATTTCTTGTCGACGTATCTTCTGTTCAGACAGCCTAAACTGATGTGGACAAATCTTTTAGAAAATAGTTCCAACCCTACTGCAGGATGAGAGGAAAACCAGTGAAAATCACCTTGTCCCACTTCTACCAATGGGAACCCCTGCTGGACCAAAGGGCCTCCCACTGATGAAAGGAGGCCAATCAGGATTCAAGCCAATGTATTTGCAGAAAATGAAGGATACAAACATATGAATTATGCCTATGTTTAGCAGATTATGTGTTGGGGGGGAAGACACTTTGTAACGCAAATCTATATATTAGGTTGAATAAAAATCAGTACTCATGTGGACCTAATAATAATAATAATAATAATGTGCTATCAAGCCACTTCGGACTTATGGCAACCCTTTTCAGCATTTTCCATATAGAGAATACTCAGAAATGGTTTAGCATTCCCTTCTTCAGGAGGCACCCTGGAACTGTGCAGCTTGCCCCAAGTCACATAGGCTGGTTCTACTCACAGGCCGGTTCTACTCATAGTGGGGAATCAAATTTCCAACCTCTGACTCTGCAGCCAGATACCTAAACCACTAAGTTATCCAGCCAGTTTTCCAAGCAAAAACTAGTGCAGCAAAAACTATAACATCTTAAAGATGAACAGATTTGTTATAGTATAAACTTTCATGGACTACAGTTCTCATTTGATGAAGTGAGGTTATAGTTATATGATAACTTATAAAACAATATAAAGCAACCAAGACTCTTGTGAAAATTTAAAGACTAATTAATTTTATTTAGCATAACCTTTCCCTCTACTTCATTAGATGCAAATGGGCAGCAATCAATGGCGTTTATGACCATTTTTACCAGAAATCCATTGCTGGTACAGAATTCGTGATTAGCTCAAACTAATATGAAATTTAATATAATTGATTTGAGTCAAGTCTTTCTCTCACACTTCTTTTTGGTCCTCATTGTCCCATTAGCAGTGCCAGGTAATTATATTGCACTGATAGCAGAGACACAAATGGAAACATTCCCAACAGTCCATAGTTCCCATACCTCTAAACTCTGACTTTGCCTGCTTACTTCTTGTAATCATTGCATTCTGTCTCTAGAACATGTGTTCTTTTACTCAATCCAAGTTTCTACTGGTTCCCCATTCTTGAATATAATATCTGTACACATCTGTTGTTTCTTCAAATTCTCATTCTTCATGCTACTGCTTAATTTCTACACTTTTAGACACATATTCTGTCAACCAATCATCCTAAAATTATTCTTTACCTGCTCTTAAAGCATATATCCTGGCCTGATCTTGCAAGGAATTAAGTTCTTGAGACCATTCTTTTAATTCCCTTTAATTCCCATCTCCCCTGCCTTTCATTAAAAGCAAGAATCATTATCCATCTTCCAGTTCAAATTTTTAACTCACTGCCTAATCCACATTTTTTTTCCATCCTCACTCTCCAACATCCTGTAAACTCTTCCCTCACAAAAATTGAACCAGTTAGTTTCCCGAGCAATTAAACATTCCTTCCCTTCATCACCAGCCTTGGTCACTCAATCATAGTGATCTTTAAAGTTCACATGCAGCACGATATTTTATTTATTTATTTATTAAATTTATACCCCGCCCCTCTAGACCATGTCTACTCAATATAAAATTCTTATACAGTGAGAACTGTTATGTAAAAAGCATGTTCTTCATTTTGAGAACACATTATCTTTGAAAAACAGCAGTTATATGTTCAGTACAAAATGGAGCACAGATGGAGCTGCTCATGGTCTGAGCACAAGGAGCTCCACATCCCAAAATGGTAGAGTGGGTGTGCCCGCTCCTTGCAGGAACCACTAGAAACTATGTAGACAAAAAAATTGCAGAAAAATGTGTTCTTTTTCAAAAGGCCCCTTCTCAAGTTATACCAGTGATTAAGAAGCTATAGCAACATAGAACAGGGAACATGGAGGAAGAACCACTACTTTGGCTCAATCAACGACATCGGTTCTTTCGCTAAACAACAGAATAATACTGGTGGAGAGAAGAACCATGTCATGAATTACTGCTTCCACATGACCTATGGCTTCTCAGGTTGCATGATCAAGTCAGGAAGTAGAACGACTAAGGGGATAGGTAAGTACAGCCAGAATTAAACTTGCTTAAAAATGATAGCTTTTTGAATGTCATATTTCTCTGTGTATCCGAATACAAACCTGAAGTTCTCTGGAGAGTACAACATTTGAAAGATCAAGTGGTGCGGGACTGTATCCATTTCCCTGCTGTTAAAAACAAAGAAGTATTGGCTGTCTTAGAAATTTAGATGTACATGTTGCTCTATTTTCACTGAAGATATTTTACAGATTTTAAATGGTTAAATCGTGGGTTATGTTGAATTTAAAATAAATATTTAAAATATGTTTCTCATTCTTGTTTTCATGAATCTTTACAATAGCATAAACTGAGGATCCTTGATAGCAAAGTGGTATTAATCAGAAGAAACACTAGCTTCAGTTTCCAGAGTTAATGAATTAACGACCTCAGACTAGATGCTTTGACAAAATGTAGACTCATAAGATGAACGGTGGGAGCATGATTTAGCAGCAATTACAGCCAGTAAAAATAACTATTTTTATTTAAGTGGCTTTTAAAATCATTGAACATACACTGCAAAAAGTGTACGTATTTTACACTCTTTCCTAGAATAATGTAATAGAAAGCAAGGCACATTTCCCTCTGATTCATACCCATTGTTTCTAGCCTTTGGTCTTTCTTTTCAGGAAAAGAAAGTTATTAACATTAGAAAAGAAAGACATTAACATCCGTGTACCAAATCCAATACCTTGTGCCAAAAAAAAAACAAAAAACAAAAACCTTATCATTCCATGCTACCCAGTTTGAGATAGTTTCTCCTTCTTTCCCAAGTTAGATTTGTGGCACACTTCCAATCTCAAAGAGACCCCAAAGACTGAAATAACTAGAATGCCCTGCCCCGTGTGATGGAGTTGGTCCCCCTTTGGTCCCCCTTTTTCAGCAGCAACTGGGAATATATATTTGTTCCAGCAGGCTTTTAGTATTGAGCTCTAATTTTAACTTAGTTCCCCTAAATTTCCTGCCAGGATGTTCTTTTTATTGTGTTTAAATGCCTCTATACTTCTTAATTTGTTTTTATAAGATGATTTTTAATATTCCCATATTTAATTCTTTTTTAAGGTTTCTTGTACTTTGTTTTAACTTGTCTAGCCACCTTGGGTCCCACTGCTGGGAGACCTGTGGCATAGGAGTGCAGTAAATAAATAAAGATAAACCACGGCATTAATTTGCCATGCAAGCAAAGTGTTGCTCAATATTTTTATGAGAGTTTTTGTTTTTACTATATAAGGAGTCATAAATACAGTGGAACAATTATCAATCAAAATGGAGATGCTAGCAAAAATCAGAAGATGACTCAGGCTCCAGAAGCATGTCTACAAAGGAAGCAGAAGAGATCCTCAGATGTAAAAATGTGTCACTGGAGATCAAGGCCAAAGTGATTTATACACTAGTGTTTTCAATTAGTATGTATCAATGTGAAAACTGGACAATGAAAAAAACAGACAGGAAAAACATCTATGCAGTTGATAGAACCTGATTCTGAGTGGTATTACGGCAACAGATACACTCCTTTGTCAACTCCATCTGAGGTTTTACTAATGACAAGCAAGATACAAAGTCAACCTCTGAATCTCTTATTCGGGAATATTGCAAGCTGGAGAAATAAATTGATTGATCTAATATAAAATGGAATAATGCTATTTTTTCTCATCAAGGTCTTTGTGTAAGGTTAATGCAACTTTTCTTTAAAAAGCAAAACACACATACATAGCAAACACAGAACAATCGGTTGATTGCTTAAAAAGGTACATTTTTTCTGAAACATCTAATTCTTGAAGGCCATCAACAAAAGCAGCATCTGTATTTATTCTGTGCAATTTGCAATGTTCCATTGCGTTATTTGTGCAATTTTACTTAACTGGAACAAAAATCATTCCTCTTCCCTTGTCAAGACTGCCTTAAAAATATCTTGCCATCTCACGAGATGAAAATAATTATTTTGCAGATCCTCGTCCTCACGTAGAAGGACACGGCATGTGAGGATTTACATCTCTAGTCTGTGCATAGGTCTCCATAATCTGACAGGTCATAAATGTTGAGCAAGGATGGTTCTGAGGTTGTTCATGCAGGCATGAAGAGAACCCATATGTGTGATTTCAGAGACCATGAAGAAAATCCCCAGTTTTCCAACCTGTGATGAGCTTTCAGCTCAACACATCCTTTTAAGGCAACTAACTGTTTAAAGGTTTTGCAGGGCATGACAAATTATTATCTCAGTACCTTTCAGATAATTCACTAGCTCACAACTCTGGAGTTTCAACAAAACTTTTTTTTTAAATCATGGGTATTAGACACAATGATATAGTTGTAATAGTACTAAAGAAACAGATACACATATATTGTTTTTAAACAGTTTTTTCTCACATGGCTGGACTGCGATACACTGCGGAGCTTTTCGTTTTCACGTTGTTGTCCTACTGATTCTCCTTCTTTTGTTCTTTCTAGACTCCATCCCATTGCTAACATGGTTTTAAGAGATTCTCTGGCAGGCCATCGATAGATTTCTTTTTCCTTCAAAAACAAAACAAAACATTCAAACAAATTGTTTCACTTCAGATATAATCTATAGATAAATATAAAGATATAAAAGTATGCAGCTTCTTGAGTCAGGAATCTAGAAAAAACACAGCTTCATACTGTGTTTTTTTTGTGTGGCTTATAAATTATTCTGAATACAATTAGGTTAAATATAAGTGCTCATATTTGTTTACTTGGGACCCTTGCTTGTGTTAATGGGCAAAGGCACAGCAGACAAGAGAGCAGCCTTATCCTCCATGCAGGGTGGCCCATCTGTTTGGGAGGCCACACTATACACTGGGTAGACTTCTGTAGACCAATCAACAGCACTTGGCATAAAACCCAAAGCATGGCAAACTTGGGAATGAAAGTCTTCCCTCTGTTCTACCTCCCAGTCTTAATCATGGGTCTCACATATCATGTCTGCTATTCTGTCTGAAGGCTTCACTTCCATCAGTTCTCAGGTGTATACCTTAATATTTCCATTGGCATGGATCATGTATTTGCCATGACTGATAGGGTAGGAAGGAATTTTATCTGTTGACTTAACTGGGCCTTGCATTTTTGCGTATCTCATAGACATTTGAGTTACTTATTGGAGTTTAAGAAGAGTTTACATCACAAGATGTTCTGTGGAGGAGGGACAAGGCATTTGACCAGTTCCTTTGCAGGTGCAAGCAACAGGACACCACCAACAACAACCCACAGGGATTTCCTTAAAGGAACTTCAGTGTCATTGTTTGATGCTATCAACTTTGGAAGCCAACAACACATTTGCCACATACGAAGAATAGTGGGATCATTTCTGTTTCTACCATTCTCTGGGACCGGAACAAATAGGCGAGGATGGAACTGCTTAGCCAGCATTTGAAGCATACATGATGGGTTTCTGGCCTACTGCTGCACCAGACTTATTAAGCTGTAGCCAATAAACCTGTCTATTTAACCCAATCTCCTGACTTGATGTTTTCTGTTCAGTCACTTCCTTTTCCTTTCTCAAGCTGGTACTGCCATTACAATCCATTACAGATCAGCCTGGAATGCAGAAATAAGCATTCACAGCTCTTTGTATCTTTCACGGCTCTTTGAAAAAATTCTTGGGTTTTAGCCATTTAACACAACTGTGACATTTAAGTGTAAGTGTTGCAGTATTCACGGAGTCCATGATATTACTGTCCATGATTCCAATCTGGTGAGAAGCAACCCCTACAGATCACTCATAAATATATGAAGAGTGAGGCACAACCCAGGACAGAATTGGTGCTAAGATTTGGAGGAGGGCGAGTTAGAAAACACAATTCAGATGACCCTTCTTAGCATCATCTAGCACCTACTCTCTCCTGCTACTGTAGCACTTCCTGGCTCATTCCACAAAAGGTTTTTAAACAAAGCTTAAATGGCCTCCTGTCGGGAATGCTTTAGCTGTGGATTTCCTGCTTTGACAAGGGATAGGACTTGATGACCCTTAGGGTTTCTTTCAGCTCTACCATCCTATGATTCTAGGCTCCTAATCTTAATAAGCAGCCGTGAGGCCTGTTAGGAGGCATGCTTACTTTATGCAAGCTAGTATGTACGAATGTATACATATATTGTGTCACTGATAATACATGTTCTGTTGCAGCTTTTGTTGATATACTGTGATGGCCTATGAATCTAAGCAATAAAGTTCCATATACACAACAAGGAAAAAAAATACTAAAATAAAAGCAACAGTTTCTCTGCCTTTTTGGGGGTGGGGGCCACCTCTCTGCCCCCAACATTTCAGTGCCTCAGCATGACACTAGACAGACAGAATTGTCCAGGAAGAAAATGGTCACCTGTCAGCAGCATAGTGGTTGTTGTTGTTGTTAAAAACTGTTCAGGCAGTGAAATAAACAACAATTTTCAGGGGGAAAGGCACGGCTTTGCTACAACCCAATACTAGTAAAGAAACTTTTGGAAAATTTATTCTTTCCCCGAAGACATTATTCTTAGGTTTATATTCTAAATAGTAACACTCTATATACATTTTAGCTAGCTAAACTAAATAAGATTCAGACTTACATCTTATCATATTTCCAGTTCATATCATACTACTGTCAGTACTAATGAAAGCTGCACATGAAACCTATTGTTTTATTAAATAAAATGTTTAACTTTTTCTTCATTACCTTTTCACTCAGTGTTTTAAAAGGCCTCATTAAAGGATGTGTCTTCATATTTTCATCAAGTAAAACAGCATACTTCCATCCACTGTTACTCTGAAAACAGATTTTCATTCAGAGAAGTTATTTAAAAAGCACTCCAGCACATATGAAAGTGTTATAAAATTCTTTCAATAAAGTTATCTTCTGCCTCATATGATTAAGTGAGGTTCTGTTCCATAAGTTGGCTCCTTTGCTTCCAGCAGATTTGAAAGTAAGAGTCTACGACTATTTAAGATCTTCACAGTTTCCACAAATCCAGTCGTGCTTTTTGGAGTTGCCAAAGTGCTATAACTGGATACCCCTATTTAACAATTATTACTCACTGCATGACTGGCAGGAAGCAAGGCCCTGTTCACTTGGGACACCTCTTTTGCCATGTGCCTGTCAGCCCAGCTCTGCTACTGTCTGTGCCCTGGAAGGGCACATAGTTCTGAAAGGAGGCATCCATTCTTGCCATTGCAATTTCCCTACATGATTAAGAACCCTGATCACACCAAGGAAGCCTACACACATGAGTAGGTTCTCCACCTCAGTTGAGGCACTACAGTGCCTCTTCTAACTCACTGTAGGTAGTAGAACTGAGAAGCTAAGATGTGACAGAAAAGGTGGGGCGAAAAAAATGCTTCCTCACTCTCTCACTCCTGTAATTCTAATTGCATGATTAAATCTGATATAGTTTATATCAATGAATACACTCATGTATTTTCAGCTCACCAATGATTATCTGTTTGTTGCTCTGGATTTTAAAACCCTGGGGTTTTAGGAGAAAGAGAGGGTGATATGGAAACCTTGGGGAACCCTGAGGGAGGATGAAACTTCGGGAAAGGCCATGGAAGCTTGGGATCCTCACTTTGGTGTCTCTGGAGAGGAGGAAAGCAGTTGAGAGAATGTTTCTGGGAACTCACCCCTTGATCCCTGCCAGGAGGGCAGAGAATGGGACTGCAGATGAGGAGCCTGAGTACAGAGTACATGTGTCTTCTAGAGCCACAGCACTACCAATTGGGCCTTGGCATCCACAACACCCAGTAGGAGCAGTGGTATCCACTCTGACTCAGTTGCAGTGACAAAACCATCAGTGTGACAGACAGAGGAGGCTCCAGGAGAAACAGAAGAGATTCCAGGAGGAACAGAGCCAGGTACCCCTCTTCTGGTTATACTAGCCATTGCTAAAAGGATGACTGCTGAGCTCTGGACCTCTACTTTCTTCTCACTTCTCAGGGTTGGGATGCTGAAGGTTGCCCATAATGCTTTCCATCCCAAGGATAGAAATACATCCCTGGCGGTGAATTAGTGCAGGGCACTGAATCCCTCAGAAAGTTCACACAGGAAATTACTCTTCAGCTATCTCTGATTGTGGCCAAATAAAGTCTGTTAATGGTTACCCTTAGAACCTGGAGCCCACGGAGTTGTTGCCAGGAAACCTGACAAGCTACCAATACTAGTAGCAGAGGGACCAGCAGCACCCACGGAAGAACACATCACAGGCTAGTATTTTCTCCTTTTTGTTGTTAGTATCAGAGTGTTGCATAATTTAAAATTATGGATGTAGAGTGGTGCCTCGCTTAGCGAGTGCACCGTATAGCGATGTTTCCGTATAGCGATCCCTTTTTCGGGATCGCTATACAGAAACATACCCGATCTTCGCAATGGGGAAAACCCGCATTGCGAAGATTGGGTATTGCGGCAGCCATTTTGGAGCCGCCGAACAGCTGTTCGGCGGATCCAAAATGGCCGCCGGAAGCCCGGAAATGGCTGCCGGCAATTGGAATCCTCGCTGAACGGGTAAGTAAGAAAGGTATTGGAACGCATTAAACTAAGTTTAATGCGTTTCAATACATTTTCCCTACCCGTTTAGCGACGATTCCGCATAGCGAAGGTTAATCCAGAACGGATTACCCTCGCTATGCGGGGCACCACTGTATTTTTTATTTGGGCCATCCACTGATGCTGTAAGCTTTTCAGCAGCATTCCTCTTTAGGGTTGAGCTACCATTAAGCAGAGTGAGGCAGCTGCCTTGGGTGGCAGATGCCAGAGAGGATAGCAGTGACAGCCCTCCAGCTATGCCTCTTTAGCCCCCTGAATACTCTGCTCTCTGGACGCCAGAACTCTGTGCCAAATAAAGTCTGTTAATGGTTACCCTTAGAACCTGGAGCCCACGGAGTTGTTGCCAGGAAACCTGACAAGCTACCAATACTAGTAGCAGAGGGACCAGCAGCACCCACGGAAGAACACATCACAGGCTAGTATTTTCTCTTTTTTGTTGTTAGTATCAGAGTGTTGCATAATTTAAAATTATGGATGTATATGAAATATAGGTACATTTTAAGACAAATTAAAAGTTATAATAATTAGATTATTTTTGAGCAGAAGCGAGCTACTTGAATAGCATTGTCTCAGCCATTTGCTAGCTCTTTTGCACAGGTGATGGGACATAAATTACATGCACATAAGAAACATGCCACAAGCAACTGAAGGGAATAATCTGTGGAATCAATCGGCAATAGTTTGGTGTGCAACAAATTCTGAAAGGAACCAAGGTGGCTAGAACAGAGAGGGAAATAATTGTTGTTACAACAGCTGCTGGCAGAAGAATTTTCAAAAATAACTAAGGCCATGATTACACAGGCAAATAAATATTATTTACAATGGATCAACCTTCAAATAAATCGGCATTTAAAAGAGTGCCTCCAGGCTTATCTGCATTTACATTTGCCCCCACAATAACACTTAATTCTCATTATTCTTTAGCTATCCTTGTGAAGGCAAGAGGAGAAGGGGACGACAGAGGATGAGATGGTTGGACAGTGTCACCTGGTGTGCTCTGGCCCATGAGGTCATGAAGAGTCGAACATGACTTAAGGACTAAACAACAAATCCTTGTCTGACAAACAAGTGTCAGATTTATAGTAGTTCGTACCTTGTCACAGGCCCATTTCTCATGTGTATGTTCAGCATATTTATTGACAATATGCTCCAACTTTTCAGGCAGTGTAAAACTAAAAAAAAAAGAAAGAGAAAATAACTGTCAGTTGCAAATAATATCCTCTACTTAGGTACATAACTTACATTTGTTTTATATGAACAGAAAAACTAAAAAAAAAAGAAAGAGAAAATAATAGTTGCAAATAATATCCTCTACTTTAGGTACATAACTTACGTTTGTTTTATATGAACAGTTACACTAAGAATGATCAAAGGCTTAAACCACACTGTTCTAGCGTAACATATGAGAAGGAAACTATAATCTAACGCTACATTTCTAAGGAATGACTGACCACATCATTTCAATGTACTTTACTGATAAGTATATTGGGAAGGGAGGTGTTTACAGTTTCATATTGCAATGAATACTCCATTCCAGACCACTCTCCCAATAACTTGACTGTCAACATCCACCAGCTTAATACACAACTCAATGGATGAATAAAATGAGGTTTACGATGAGAATTAGTGTTTACAAAATATTTTTGTTTTGTACAGTACAGTTTTTTTGTCAAAGGCATACTAAGGTTTATCAGTCTAGAATAAGATTTCCAGACAATATAGAAAATAAGTGGGCCAAGACATACTTCACTGTGTTGATAGGTTTGGGATCAAAGTTTCCTTCAGCATCCACAGAAGTTTGCTTCTCTAAAACTGAGGTAATTCGTGTGTCTAAATAATCTGGCGGCAAAGCCCCTGCTATTGCACTTAAACAAGGCAAGGCCATTCGGAAAAGCTCTGGATCATACTTCTGCAGGAGAGATAGGAACTGGTTGGAAAGTCCAATAGAAAAACATGCAAAGTGTTAGTAACACCACCATCTACAAGCAGAATTAACAGATATTAATAAAGGTGGAAGCAAACTTTAGAAGCGGATACACATTGTTTAAATTAATTGTTTAGGGACTATGTTTGCTGTGTTACCTTAAATTAAAATTAACGTGAAGTTAGACTGGAATGAAAGAAGTCCAATTGATTTTCAGAAATATTTTTTCTTTGCCAAAAATTGTCTCCCCCCCCCCACAAACTCTTTCAGTAAATATGTCTGTACATGTGTATGCCTGTGTCTACATACACATAATTCTGCAAAAGGATTTGATAGTATTTACTAGCCCAGAAAACACTTGTTCATTGTAAATCTGCTTTGCTTTGGTCTATCTAGATTTAATGGTATTTTATGAATATTACGCACCCACAGCCCAAACTGTGATTTTATTCATTTTTACCTCTATGAATTGTCACAACCAGTAGATATAAAAGTACCAAAAAATTAGAAAGAAAGAAAAAGAATGAATGACTACTATCATGTTTTATTCTTCTGAATTAATATTAGTGCCAAAAACTATTATATTTCAGTGATCCATTTTTACTGTTGTACATGTTATCATCAACAAAAGTGTGTTCTCTCTGCACCAAAGTTCTGCATTTGTGATCTAATTACAAAACTGATTGAAATAAAGTAAAAATAATAATAATGGCATGCCAAATAAATTTTTACTTATTGCAACCTTCACAGGGTTTTCTAGGTATAAAGTATTCATAAACCTCTACATGGAGCATTTTGAAAAACTTGTCCTGGCTTCGGCACCCCTCGCGCCCACAGTCTGGTTCCGATATGTGGATGATGCCTTTGCAATTTGGAGCCACGATGAAGAAAAATTGGAAGAATTTCTCAACCATCTCAACAGCATCCACCCAAATATACAGTTCATCATGGAAAAAGAAATAGAGGGTCAACTCCCGTTCTTAGATGTCATGGTCCTATGCAAAACTGACCTCCGAATGGGACACAAGGTCTACAGAAAACCCACCCGGACAGACCGGTACCTACACAAAAACTCCAACCACTACCCACAGCAAAAAAGAGGCATAATCAAAACACTGGTAGAC